ATATATATATATATATTACTTTTATTTTCATCATTTTAATTATATGATAATTATTGATGTAAAAATAAAATGTGATGTATTTTAACATGCTATGGCCGAAAATATCAAAGGGAAAATACAAGACATAAATTGATTTTCTACCTAATGATATATTTGATTTTATAATCAAATATTTGATTAACAAAAGTATACTTGTCTTGTTGTGTTGGTTGGAGACATTACACTAATCTCATTTTGTTTTTGTCCCTAAGCAATTTCCTAGCATTTTCTTAATACATTGTATTATATAATGTGAGTATCCCTCCCCATTTTATAAGTGTAATTTTCGGCCACATAGAGAGAGAGAGGAGAAAATTATTATTTTGTGTTACAAGTTATTTTTCTAAAGTGTTAGAAATATACACAAAATATTATAAACAAATATTTATAAGATAAATATTTTACTATATATTTATTACTCCCAAAGTAGTATTACTATAGTTTGTACTATCCTATATTAAACTTGCTAGCACAAGTTTAATCTTGGACTCCGGAGCAAGTTCGTGTGGATACGTTGGAGGCTTCATACGTTTGGCGCTACGTTCATCTCCTCAAAACCATCCCCGACCGTTCCTCCGTTCACCGTTTTCACTGTTAAGGTAAATTTCTTACTATAGCTAGTAATTTACGTAAGTTGTTCTTGGGTGGAATCAAGTTTTGGACTATAAATTTTTGTTTTCCGCTGCGTTATCCAAGCCTCGTTTCCCAACAGACACCAATTCTCGTGTTTTGGCGTCTCAGTGGAGGGGACGGCCGATTCCTACGATTCCAAACGCAAGTCCCTGATTGGGACTAATTTGGTCCCAGTCGGGGAACACTTTTTGGTCCATCTTTCTCCGAATTGAAATCCGTTTGCACTGTTGTGATCGTACATTTAAACTCTATCCAACGATATAATTTTTATATTTATTTGTAACACTTTTTCTGACATCATATTTTTGGGTGGTTGACTTTGACAGAGTAAAAATTGATTTAATTGACCTTTACTCAAAAAGGTGCTCATATTCAATTCATATTATTTATTTCCATGATTTATTTCAATAAATCATTTCAAAGTTCACTACATAACTAATTTCTTTATTTATTCTTGATTTGGGTATGTACTCATGTTCCCAATCAAGACCACACAAATATTCAACATATTGGATTTATCTCTATGAGATTTATCCAGATTAAGATATTGGATATCAAAACACATCTCATTTCGGCCCAAAGCCCAATAACTATTTATTTTAATCGAAACAGATTTGACTAATTGAATATTTATTCATTAAAAATTTTAGGGTATGTTTTGGGGCGTTACATTTCTCCCCCCCTTAAAGGAATTTTGTCCTCGAAATTCTTCTAAGGGTCAACGTTTAACATTTTGTAGGTTCCCGCTCAGATTCAACAACCATAACCTAAGTTCCTTTGCAAGGTATAACATCGTATTTTGGAGCATACTTGACATATTTGTACATCATTTCGTTCATTCACAAATCTCGATTGCATGTCATTAGTCAACAACATTCTTTCTTTGATTGAAAGTCCCTTAGCAGCATTTGTAGTTTTGAATCACATTAGATGTAGTGGGAGATTCCGAGGTTGTTTCAATCCATACGTTTTAGCGAAATCATCCAAGTCATTCAAGACATATTTACATTATTCATATAGTTCAGAAATGATTTGTAAGTAACATTAGATGGCTTTTCGTGGTCCAAGATTTTCAATATATGGGATTTATCATATATTATGAGGAGGTACTACTCGTTGTACAGTCATTATCGATCTCGTATTTGAAACATTCCTTCGTTCATCTTCGTGATAGTTCTCATTACCGTTAATGAGCCTTCGTAACAATTCACATTCGAGCTTTGTCTCGTATTTGTTTAATCATATTCGACTTCCTTACTTCGATCAAGATATGATAATGACAGGTTCGTTTTTAGCACTATGGTTAATCTCGTTTCGAGGGAAGAAGAAAATATCTTCAATATGTGATTCAATTTACAAATTTATAAAGTAAGGAATCTTACGAGTTCTTATACCAATATCGCATATAGGTTCAGAATTTTTTTGCTTGAATGATTCAGCTTGATCCTTGTGACGTCATTTCTTCTCTGGTTGTTGCACATACATTCCCTTAGTATGGTCATAACGGAGTTTGTTTGGTCAAATGAGATCATCGATAATAATCTTCAGAGATAACGTAATCGCATCAACCATTTTGTGGTTCACAAAGAGAGGCTCAACATAATATTCCAATCAGAATGCTTTTACCGTAGTTCACAGAGTGTAGTTTTCAAAGATCGGTATCATGAAGAATCGTGGTTTTATTATTTTGACACAAAGAATGGAATTCAAGATCGATCAAGAGAGGTATTGTAGTTAACACAGCAAGTGGAGTCATTCAAGGATGTGAGTCACAAGCTACAAACATAACGTTTGCAAATTATCGTTACTAATCGTAGATTTTCATCCTTCAAATGTTTCACTCTGTGGAAGTTACTCAAGAGGTCCTTGTCTTAAGAAATAGCCGTTCTGACTTTTCGTCTCGGATTTGAACATGTTTCAGGATAGCAAATCTAACTGTTCAAGAGTCTCAATATGTCATATCGTTAGCAGACTGTAGTATTGGCGAATGCGTTCTCGTCTGTAGGTAAATCGATTCCATATTACTGTACGTATTTTGGCTATTGATAGTTACATTTCCATCAATGGTCAGGTTTCAGAGACTATATATATCACAATTATGAAAAGAGTATCTCACATTCTCATATTATGGAAGGAACTTCTCGAACACTTCCTTACACCATAAGATTCGTTGGTTTACTTGGCAGTCATTCTCTTGGTAAAAATCCAAAGTTTATGGCTACTGCAGTAGGAAGAGAATTGATAAGGCGGAGAATTAGTCTTGCTTATGGAGGAGGCAACGTTGGCCTACAAGGAGCTGTTGCTTCAACAGTCTTTACCAATGGTGGTCTCGTTAGAGGTTTCATTCCTGGGTACATACCCACACGACGGGTCTACGGACCTACATACGGCGTAGAGCACAAAGTTTCCAGCAATTACTACAAATATTTTGAGATGAATCATGCCGTGGAAGCTTTCATCATTCTTCCTGGAGGAGTTGACACTATGGAAGGTTTGTTCACCTTGATCTTGTGGGCTTCTGAAGGGTTACACAATAGACCCATTCGTCTCTTGAACATTGACGGTTATTTCAATAACCTACTCAAATTTCTAGATGATGCGGTGAGGCAGAACTTCATAGCTTCCAGTCAGAGGAAACTTTTCATTTCTTCTTTCTTTGTTGATGAGCTTTTAGACAAACTAGAATTTGCTAAAGCTTTCCCGGGACCTGGGGTTAGTTATGATGAGTTTGTGAATCCCGGAAGACTAGACTTGGAATTGCATTTATAACTTTCTTCACGTAATCCAAGTTGTATTTGTGTTTAAATAATATTATCCATAAACATCAATGGTTAGTCATATGCGAGCTACATTTGCTTCATTCTTCAGTCTTTCACTGTTGGTGTCATTTATTCACGTCAAACGAGTCAATCGATTTGTCTAGTCAGCATCCCTATGTTTCACTTAGTCAATTCAGACTACATCGACGTTTTTGACGATAAACAACTAAATCATTAGTCGCTTCATAGCAAGGCATCAGTTCATTCAACATGTTCGAGATGTCTATAGCTTTTAACAAATAGGTTCTTCGAACAAATCATCTATACGTAGTAAAGAGTAGCGATTCTTGATCGTCAGTTTGTCCATCATTCTTAACTGGGATGTGATAATATCTTGACCGTAAGTCAATCTTAGAGAATACAATGGATCCTCTAAGCTGATCAAATAAGTCATGACACAAAGTAAAGGATAACGAATTGTTCAACTGACAGTAGTTGATATAGAGTCTCATTGATTCTTCCTTATTCACGTTTGAACAGAACAGATACTCTCCGATAAAGGAAACACTTTGTCAGATGATTCCTTCTTAGGCAATCTTCATAGTTGAGTTTTTTTTTTTAACGGAAACATATTCAATACAGAGTTATGAATATTGGTTCTCTCAAGGATCAAGATTGACAGAGTTTTCAATTTCTTGGAACGGTGAAATATAAGGAAGCTCATATCAGAGGGGTGACATACTTTCGGTACATTCCTTCAGCTTAGATGTTTCTTTTTGGGTATCGCACGAATAGACTTCACACTTGAGATGTTTTCGTATATATATTCGAGATGAACTTGGTCGGTTTAGAAATCAGCTTTGCTTTCACCTCTATAAGATTACCATCATTGGTCTTCAGTTGAGGAATTCTTCATCACAAGTTGACAACAGCAACGACGTTCAGTCAGTTAACGCATACTAAGGATAATGTCGATTTTCCTTGTATGGTACTTCAACGATGTTTTACAAAGAATTGTCGCTTAACGAACGATTTCAATTCACATTAAGGAATCGCATAATGCGTCCTAATGAGTCAAACAATAGTATCAGATACTTTAGATAATAGAGTTTGTTGATTCTAAACGTTCGTGTTTGAATCAGCGATTAGATCGCCTTGAGTCCACATGAGGATCCATGACATCAGCTTCACAGATGTTTCTCAACATATATCAACACGAATCGTTCTTCAGGTTCATCTCACTTTCGTGCGACTTTTCTTGTACAGATCAACTTCGTCATTCACGATGCGATGCGTACGTTGATAACGTATCAGAGCTTCATACATTTTTTTATTCTTTTGTTTCTTTACCGAATACGAAAATTCGACTTGAGTCTATGCTCGATATAATTTCAGTACTAACAATTGTTATCAAATGAGAATTTTAACAAGTCAATATTTACTAAGTAAATTCTCATACCTTTCCTGGGGCAGAGGGATGCGAGAGTCGTGGATGTGACTGACACATTTTTTTTTAATTCAAATTTTGATCCGAAGATCGGTTTTAAAACCATTTGCTCCGATACCAAATTGTAACACCCTAATCCGTCCAGGTCTGCAGCCCCTTTCAGACTAAAGTATTAACTTGGTAATCGTAAAATTTAAAACTTTTCAAACACTTTTATTTATCACAATAATATTTTTCGTAACATATACAGTGCGGAGTTTTCAATATTGCGGAAGCTTAACAAATCATAATTACAAACATAATTT